TTTGAGGCAGGGACCTATAACCAGATATAAATAACTGAACAGCTAATTTAACCACTGTTATTAATATAGTTAAAAAAAGTTAAGTAGGTATTTGTATATTGTATAAGTATCTTCTCAATACCCAATCACGGTCTTTTCATTTTCCTTATTGTCGCGGGTTACATAAGTTAGCTAAGCTCCTACATTCAGGTACAAATCATCGCGGACGATGTTCATTTGTTATTTTTTTTTTTGAAGCAGAAATGTTTTTTTGTTATCAAATCCATTGATAAAAAATTCATGGTTCTTATGTAGTAAGTCTGTTCTGAACTTTTTTAAGGATTCTATTTTACTTAGGGAGTAACACGTGGACGACGAGGAATGTAGGATAACGCGACAGAATGTATTTCTATGACACCTATTTCACAAAGCGGCTGAGAGTTTTGACAATTTCTAGATTCTAGACTATAACAGACGTCAGGGTACACGCGCAACACCGTAAGATTAATACGTGACGTTGAAAGTTAAGGATTTGAAGATTACATGATGGTAAGTAACCAACGCCGCCCATGTTTGCACCATCTATGCAATACCGGAGAAATTACGAGAGCATTGCAGGCCTTTTGGGGATCGGGTAGTCTGTTATAGCAGCGGTAAGACCCCTCTTTGAGGAGTGGCTTGAGAGACGCCATGGTGTCCTCACCTTCCGCCTGACGCAGGTGCTTACCAGAGGATAGGGTGGCGGTGTGCTCTGCTTGGGCTTGGCACCGGCGTGTCCTCAGATCGGCGACCTCTCGCGTCCGGCCTTAGTCGAGGCCTTGGTGCGGAGCGAGAGGATCTGGGAAGCCGTCTTACTGCGAAGCAGTGATGCTCGCAAGAGATGCGCGTGAGCGAACTTTCCTCCTCAATCCCCAGCCGCCGCAGAAAGGCGTTCGGTAGTCGAGAGATGATCTCCGGCCACCACCATCAATTCAGGCGTGGGCCTGCGAACGAACCAAAACCAGACCTGAGCGTACCGGTACTGGTTTCCATTCATGCCGAGGCATGGCTCTCCCACACTTAGATAAAATTGAATTAGGAATTTGGATCCTACTTAATATTGGTAATTTTGGTTAGATATAAACTGTTGTAAGATATGATTTTTGGTTAAGTTATCGACCGTTGTAGTTAGTATTGATTATCAGAGTAATTTCAAGAAGGTATAAGGTAGGGGACCTACTCAACAGAAACGAGATACCTATGTGACTTGTGTGGGACCTGGCTTTGCAGAGAAAAAGTAGGTAATATAATTGTTTTCATGACAAACTATTCCGTGGGTAAGAACATAACTGAATTTGCACACACGTTTTAAGATTCAGGTAAAATTCAACTAATGATAGGTACCTAGTACCTAGGTAAGAATCTACATGGTAACAAGATGAAATTTGTTTTTTTTACTCATGTTAGAAGTATAAGAAGTACCTAGGTAGGTAGGTAATGCAAAAATGTTGAGAAAATATTAAGTTGGCAATACTGAATATTATACTTTGTCAAGTTTTTTTTAATATTTTTTATACACAGTTCGGAGTTCCTAAATATACATACAAATGTGTCCGGTCTATCCTAATTTCCATGAAAGGAACGACCTCAGCCATCTGTTCTAGTCAAATGACATAAAATGTACCTAATAGTAAAAGTTTATGAACGATAAAAAAACGCCATTTAGGCTGCACAATTTCTTTCCGCCGCATAAAAAAAAAGATGAAAGCAAAATTATCTGTGGCATCGTAATTAAAAACTATAATATGGGACAAGACGAACGCGGCAGGATATGAAAATAATCATAAATACTTATAAAAAATACAAGATACATTAGGTATTTAGTGATATCACATTGTAATAAAAGTTTACTGCCACGAATGCCTATTGAAAGTGCTGAAACGGACAAAAATAACCGTTCTAGAGGGTTTATTTCAGTTAAATTAATGCCGCTCGTATGATTTATACGATGTTTCAACCAAAATAAATGTTACGACAAAAAATGTAGGTGAGAGAGCAACTTTAGATTAATATTTTCTGAAATTATCTAACGAATGAATTAGGAGGGAATGGAGCTGCTAATGTTTTTAGGTTCCTACATAAATAGAAACGGAAATAATAATTTATATTATTTCCAGAAGGTAGGTAACATTGATAACAATTTTTCACTAGGTACTTAACATACATTTCATTTTCGTGCAATAATAAAATTGAAGACCTATCTATACCTAAACAGATTTAGGCATGCAACACAGAAAAACACAAGTTCAGGCGCGTTTTAAAATACAATGCTAGAAACTTTTTTACCTTCTCGACACTAGTTTTTCGATACCTAGATATTTCGATAATGCACAAATGTAATTAAAAACACAACATAAACTACTTACGGTCAATATCCGAACAAATCACAGTATCCTTTCCGCAGTATTGCGCTACCCCTGCGCAAACGCACGTCACAGCGGCGCCAAACTCTACCCCGTTATATTTTTAATATAAAATTCTCTAGTCGCGTATCGAATCATAAAAATATAAATATTTTAGGATCGACCGCGCGCGCAACACCAACCGCGTCCCGACTGCCCATTGACGCATTCGTTTCGAACTAATTTCGGTGCAACGACTATTCCGCGATTCTGTAAACACCGCAGCGGCGGTAAAACTTGGCTACGGAACGCTGGCCTCTCCACTACGTGGGGACCACTTCGCTTACATCTTGAATTTAAGGAAAAGAGGGAGACGCAAGAGCTCACTTTAGAGTGGGATCGCTGGAGTGTTGCTGATTTACAAAAGCAGTTGCCATCACCCTTATCAACCTCCAATAAGAACGAATTTCCTCCAGCTGAGAAGTATCGACAATTTTGTAAGTAATAAGTTCTGTTTTGGGCACATCGTGAGTCAGTCGGGATGAGGAAATGCGTGCAAGTTATAATTTCGGAGCGGCCGACATTGTTGAATGATTTTATAAATCATTGCGGGATATTCTACCATGAGAAAATATTTGTAGATATTAACATTTTTAATACACCTAGTGATAAAGCTATCTACGCAGTTAATTTTAAGCACCTACCTAGGTAGGATACATATACTTACTCATAGGGTAGGAGAGCCATGCTTCAGCACGAACGGAGCTGCTCGATCGGAGTGATACCACGTTCTGCTCTGTTTCACGCACGAAAACCGGCGTGAAACAGTTGCATTGTTTTTCACCATATGCGTGAGATTATCAGGACATCCGTCTGCGCTGCTGTCTGCTACATAAATGTACTTAAGGCTAAGTTAAGAGGTTAAACCTTAGACAAAATAAATAATATTCTAATCAACAATCTTTAGTAAGTACCTACCTACTTATTTTCTGTAATATTAAAGCTGAAGCATTTGTTTCTTTGTTTATTTGCTTTAACGCGTTAATCTCCGGAACGGCTGGTTCGAATTAAACCATTCTTTTTGTGTCTAATACTTACCTAATCCATTTGTTGACGACGGCTATAGACAAAAAACATTACGCTACGATGCGTGGTGGTAGCTAGTTATAATAGATATAGGTAATCTTGATGCCTACTTTTATTTAAATAATTACTTAATTAACATTCTCAATGGCCTAAAGCCGATTGATTTTTATCCCCACTTATATAAGTCCCTTAAATCATTTACTTTACGTAGGTAAATTAAAACGATGGACCAAAAACCAAATCCATTTATACAAAGAAATTAGCTAAGATTACCATAACACGTCATATGATCGTTCCACTTTTGATACAGGCCAGTTTATCAAAGAATCACCAATTTTAATAGGTAGGTACATAAATTATATTTGTATTTGGCATGAACTTCCTCTCCTAGGTCAGGTCAGCATACTATTATGAACATGGTAGGTACCTACGGCAGGTTTTTACTATCTATATACTTACTTAATATCGACTGCACGGTTGGCGCGGTGGCTGGGCAACTGGCTGCCGTGCAACGTGTCGCTGGTTCGATTCCCGCACGGAACAACTCTTTGTGTGATTCACAAATTGTTGTTCCGGGTCTGGGTGTGATGTGTATGTGAATTTGTATGTTTGTAAACGCACCCACGACACTGAAGAAAATCCTACTGTGGGGGTATTTAAAGAAATAAAAATATTATGAAGCTGAAGAGTTTGTTTGAACGCGCTAATCTCCGGAACTACTTATTGGTTCGAATTGAACAATTCTTTTTATCGAGGAAGACTATAGGCTATAAAACATCACGGTACGATCTGTAGGAGCCGAGCAGCGGGTGAAACCGAGATTAGCTAGTATATTATAAATAGCGAGCTTTTTTTATGGAGTAGTAGGCAAACAAGCTTGCGTAGGTATCACCTGATGGTAAGTGATCGGCGCCGCCTATGGACACCTGCGGCGTGAGAGGAGTCACAGGCGTGCTGCCAGCCTTTTAAGGAGCACGTTTCTTGAAGGTTTGAAGGTCTTATCGGTTTGGAAATACCACCGCCAAAAGATCATTCCAAAGTTTTGCTGTAGGGGGCAGTTTAGTCAGTAATAGTCTGATACTCGCTCCCGCCTCAACCAGGGCCATACAAGTAATTTGATGATTTTGACCTCTCGAAATAAGGGGCACATAGTTCAGTTTAGTGGAGTCCAAGAACAGCTATAGATGGAACTCGTGTCGTTGGGGACAGAAATGGACTGGATTTTTTAATGAAATAAGAGTACTTAATTGACTTACGTCACGACGTAATTTAACTGTCTTTTTATTGTAGCATCTTTCTAAATTACGTTATTTGGATGGCAAACTGCTTGTTACTTTATCATCATATTAATTTAAATTTTCTCAAATTCTTAAATGATAGTTAACGTAAGTATTTTGGACGAGTACATCCACCAACCAGTTCTCTTGGAGAAGTATCTCAGCTCAAAGAAGAAAGATAATACCTACTTAAAATCTTGCTTTTGAAGTGAAGAAAATATGAGGATATTTGGTTTCAAGCTAATTATAACACTACAGACCAAATAAAAAACAAAAATACAAGAAATACTTTAATATCTTCGACTTATAACTAGATTTCAACGGATGTCATTTAACATTTTTCAGTGCTTCGCAGGCATCTGTCATCTTCAATCCTTCCATAATGTAAAGGAGGTTCTCCACGGACGCATCCTCATCATCATCAAACCATAACTGAAGCATGTTCTTAGCTCTAGCAGAATCCGTTGCGTTTTCTGTTTCAAAGAACTGTATTTCATCAGCTTTATATCCCAGTTTGGCGGCTAACTTCTTCCAGTCTGTGAGTTTTGAGGACAGGGCTTCGAGTTGCGCGGGAGATATCATCGTGACTCTTGAGCGGGAGGTCTTATCGTAGTCCTCTTCGCCAGCGTGAGTAGAGTCTGGTACCTTTGTGGAATAATAATAATAATTAATTGACATTAACTTGGTTTTAAACGTGGCTCCACATTCGTTTTTTTTCGGAGTTGAGGAGGCATTAAAGGGTGTGTGTGGGCGACAAAGTTTTTATTTTTTATGTCTAAGGCAAGGCAATTGAAACAGCACTTGATGATAAATGGTCAGCGCCGCCCATGGATAACTATAATCCCAGAGAAGTTTTTGTGAGGCTGCCGATTTTTGGGGGAGGTTGAGTTTATGATTAGCCAGTTTATTCTGGTCGTTTGTAAAGCTTCATCGATTTGTGTAGTATGTGGTCACAACGCAGTTTTTTATTCTCAGTTTAAACGTGTTACATATTTTACGGCGCGTAGCGTTCCGCGCGCGCCTCAAAGAGCCAATAGACCACCACAGACGTTCAGCCGGGCTATAGGGCTGATGTTCTGCCGGGGTTGCGGGGTAAGCGCAATGAGGCACCGCGACCTCGGCACAGAGCAGGAGAAGGAACAGGGGGGTTTTTAGGTCATTTGTTGATTTTCGCCTCACAAAAAAAACATGTTACGTATTTATTGTTATCGCGATCGTGAAGGTGCCTACATCGTTTTATTATTTTTTGGAGGAATGACAAAAGAAATCTGCTAACTAGACAAAGAACGGACTGACCAACTGACTTCATTTTAAATACATAATACAACGATTACTATTTAGGGAACTATCATACAAGCGGATTGCTGGACAACATATTTGGCTATATGTTTGTTAGTGTAATGTGGACCTTGTGTCATAAGTTCTTATTTGTGTTACCTGTTCAATATCGTTGGCGTCTCCTTCCTTTATGAGATCTGCTTCCATTTGTTCTTCAGTTATCTCCTCTTCGTTGTTTTCCTGTAAGTAACACAAGTAGAATTATAATTCTAATATAAAACTGGATGTATTTTACACATTTTCAGCATTACCATTTCAATATGAATTTAAATTGTTTTGAAGATATGAACTAAAAACTGATTTAGTAAGGGCTGATTTTTCCCTTACTAGGGCTGATTTTTCAATGGTTGTATAAAAGTTATCGGGGGAATAATGATGCTGTCGCGTCACAATGTTTGTATGAGAAAGTGACAGCAACAGTTTTATTCCTAAGATAACATTTATCTGACTATTGAAAAATCTGCTCTAAATTAAAGTAATAAGTAAATAAATAAAGTGTTAGGTTAACCAGGGACTAATTCAATGACCTCACGATTTCGAGATTTGGATATTAGTCCCATGGAAAAAGTTGATGTTAGACGGTAGTTTCCAACTAGTCAAATTCAATACATTTATCCAAACGTCAAAAACGATACTTTTCTATGAAATTTGTATGAAAAACTGAGTTATGACGTCATAACATTTTTGCGTCAAATAGCTTACGTATTTAAAAATCTAAAACTTAGTGTATCGATCGATTGAAGTATAGTTATTTTTCAATATTTTATTGTATTGAAACGTCGAATTAATTTATTTTGGACCTAGGAAACTACACAATTGAGCATTAAAATCGGCTCCTTCAATATCTCCCTCGTTTAACCTAATACACTGTATAACAATCATACCGGTTTGTTAGGTTTATCATTGTGGTTCTTAGAAGACTCTCCGTTCGCATTAGCTGCTGCATTGGCTGCAAGCGCAACGTCCCGTGTAACGCGCTCAACCTGAAACAAATTGTCAATATGAAAAACTGAAGAAATTTATAAAAATTATCACTTTGAAATAAAAACCGGCGTGGAACAGCGGCGTGCGAAGTTATCGACGGGACAATCCTTTCTACTATTCCATTTTCCATTCAAAAATAACAACCCCCAAAAGGGCACCAACGCCCTCATAAGGCCATACGTGCGCTCGCTTGGCGCACTGTCATTTAAAAAAAAATGATCCACAAGAACCTAATACATATTTATAACTTCGTACAACTAAGCATTCTGAATGAAGAAAAATTTTGTTTTTCTAATTTTGCTCCAATGAGATGACAAAAGATAGTTAGTAAAATTAAATAACCAATTGAAATGTATTGGTTCATTTTTGATGGGGAGAGTGGGCAATCTTCGAATGCCTCTTCCCGACCTGCTGGGTGAGATGAGAGTGTCAAACTATACCAGTCACAGTAAGACACTCTCTTTGTTAACTAATTATAGAACCAAATGACCGCATCGCTCAGGGTGTCTGGATCCTGTAGGATATGAACTCCACAACAACTTCAACCTCGGCTCATGGTCGCAGGCTGACTCGTTTTGCAACGGTCGGGTTGGATCGTCATTGGATCAATATGATCTAAAACTCCTCGAACCGAGAAAAACCCGTATTTTGTTTTGCGAAATAAGTGATTGTAAGATTACACAAAATTTTCTCCTTCCAATATTCTTATCAAAAGTTGATGTGCAACATTTATCACCGCCTACTAATCTTGTCTGTTAAAGAAAGTGAGTGTGTTAAAATTATGCTTAAGTACAAAAGAGCCAGCTCTATCGGCCTTACAGAAAATTGGCGTGAAACGTCACTTGCATTGCGAGTCGTTGTGGGTCGCAGGTTCTCTGAGGCCAATCATTTTTCCTATCATTCCAAATCCCCAATTCCCTTAATAGCAGAGAGGCCGGCCACGTATTCGTAACTCCAAAACAGGTGTCCATGAGCGACGTCGATAACTAACCATTAGATGATCCGCTAACTTGTAGAATACAGCAAAAAATAGATAGGATTGTTGCCGGCGCGAAATGAGACTTGCGTTGTGTGAGTAGGGCCAATACATTTTCCTATCATCCACAATCTTAAATTTTATTAATTGCAGAACGACTGGCAACCAACGTGCTAGTCACTCCTAAACAGGTGTCCATAGACGATGCGGATTGCTCACCATCACATGATCCGCTAACTCGTAGAATATAGTAAAATTAAATGGTGGAATGGAATGGGCTTACCATGGCAGTCAAGTAGTCAGGCAGTCGTCCGATGGGGTTGTTGGTGTGCACGAAGAAGTGCGGCGACCGACGCGCCAGCAGGCGCAGCGCGCGCCACCCCCACCCCGCGCACGAACGCGCCAAGCGGGCCGACCCCGCGCATACCATGTACGACTCTACACACAGATAACAACTATTACACACATTTTCATTGCCTTTTTGTTTCTAAGGGGAAAAATGACATTCCATCGAAGACTTCTCCGGTAGAGGGGGTGCCAAACTCTTTACTTTATTAACATGTTGGGTGTCACCAGTGACCTCCGTTAGAGGAGGATTTGCCTTCAACAGTTTAATGTCGGCAGTCAAAGGCTTAATTTATGTAAAGCATAGAGAAAAGAGATACTTACATAAAAAAAGACTAAATAATTATCAAATAAAAACATAAACACAAAAACAAATAGGAACTAATCATTGTTACTGACTAAACCCCCTACCGCCGTTCCACTTAATTTGTTATTACTTAATTTGTTGGTACTTTGTATGTCAGGGGTTCGATTCCAATATCAGAAAAAATAAAAAAAGTATGAGTTGTGTAGCTCAAATATATCATTCATAGATCGAAATGAGACTTATACAACACAATAAGCCCTGGCTCCTAGCTATCATACAAACATCCCTGACAGTCAATTTAGTCACAATTAGTAAATATCTACTGCCAACAGCTTTGCTTTTGTTACCAAAATAAAAGTAGTAATCTACAAAATAAATGTAAGTACAACCTCTTTTAAAATATCTTAAGTACCTACCTTCTTGCTTGAGTTTAACGCCATCTATGAGTTTCCTCATTTACTAAGCTGAACTTCAGTTGTCTACTTCAATTTACATGTCTTGTCTTATGATTAGGATATTGAAAAAATTACAGATAATGTGTCTTTCTGTTATTGCATTGCATTGTAGCTTCAAAATGCAGCATTTGACAGACTGACTCGTTGTAAAAATATTGTATTCAGTATAAAAAAAATGTTATTCCCCATACCTAATGACGGCATGAAGTCTCTCTCTTTGGTGCGGCAGGCGGCAAGATTATCAGGACACAAGTTCCACAACTTAGTCAGCTCATTACTGGAAAATACAATATACAACTAAGTTTGTGTTATTGTGTAAGCTTCAAAGATCAAAATAACTTGAACTTAATACTAAATTCACATTGTAAGATGACGAAAAAAATATTAATATAAAGAAAGGACCCATAGGTAATTGTTTGAATCTCAAGTCATATGTTCATCTTTGTCACACTTCTCTGAATATGTATGAGATGATGATGATGAGATTACACATAAATAAAAAAAATTAATGCTTTTATGCTAACCAGATGGCGCTTATATAAAATAAACCTTACCTAACGAGTTTAGGTTTAGGCTATTTGTCTTAAAGCTGCACTGTATTTTTGTACTTACTTCCCCATATAAGATTTATTCTGAGCTTCATACTCCTTAATGATGTCACCGACGGGACGGCGACGCTTTCTCGACTTCTTCACTTCATCCGTCGACTCCACTGACACAGGGGGCTTTGGTTTCTGAAATTCTATAAAAAAAGATTCTTTTTATAATGCTGTTGTGTACGTCTTAAGTAAATGAGTGAGATAGATTGATGAAGTGAACTTGCATTGCATATAAATCAACTAACAAGTTTTTTCGTTAATCATTGTACATTTAATTACAGAAACGACTGTGGAACAAACTGTTACAGACACTATTTTTTAAATTGAAGCCACCATCAAGCGTGATTGATATCCAAACATCGTAACTTTCTCATTTATAATATTAGTAAGAAGTAAGACAAGGTAAAACACTATTCCATAAAAACACTTACCAGGACACCCATCATTTTTCCAGCTGTTCCAATGCTCCTCCCTCTTTAGTATATGCTTGACACACTCGGCAAACTGCTTCCCATTAGGTGGAGTCTCGCCAAGTAACTTGTAAACAAGTGCTGTAGTCTCTTTCACCCAGTCTACTTGATCAGACTTCAATTCTTGGACTTCCCTGTATAAAAGAAGTGATTTTGAAAAACTCAAGACTTGTTACAATACAGGACAGAGTATCCACAGACGTTCTCTAAGCCTATTATTCCTTCCTGTTGTCATATGTCACTTTTTATTTCATCATGACCTATCTATACTACTGATAGCAGAGAGCAGATTTATATATTATGTAGATAGTGTGACACAATGTATATATTTTTTATTGTATCTCTTATAAGTGCAAACAAAGTTGTTTATTCTGCCGTAATTTAGTAATAACTAGTATTTTAATAAGTATTAGATACTATACTTCAGAATACCTAAGACTTTTATGTCTTGTTTTAATACTTGATTGTTATAAATTATCATATTATACCGAAAGGGCAATGAAAACATTATAATACAAATTTTACAAGTTGTTTGTATGAGAGAAGTACAACAATTTAAGGGGTTTTTGCTATACTTTGCACTAAAGAAGGAACATTATAACTACTTAGAACTTTACTATATGAGACATAAGTTCCTGTCATAAGCTGTTTGACCAGTATTTCTACAACAGTTACAACTTAGACAATAAACTAGACAAGGCAATAAAATAATAAAAAATATACATACATCTTAAACTTCACAGTAGAAGTGAGATACTGGAACAGAATTAGGAACTGAACGAGGACACATCTTCGGAAGTTAGAATCCGACAGCTGCAACTCCAAAAGCTTCTGATTGGTCAGAAACTTGGCAAAGTAATGAGGTTCATTGGTTTCTGAGTCCTTCATCTCGGCATCTGTAGCCACAGTCTTTACTGGCTTCAGCAAATTCAGTTTTGATTTCTGTAGCTCTACAGTTTCTAGCTTATATGAGGAGAAGGCTGAGAGCACACTGCCCGAGTGCTGAAATAGATGTAATATGAAATTAATGTTTAACCATGAAAGATTTAGGGATCAAATTTCAATAGCTTGCTAATCATAACTACTGGAACTGCAAAACATCATTACTTATATGTGGTGTGCAAAGTCAGCCCTTCAACAGCATACAGCAATGGAGCAGTAAGTCCAGGTGTCAATTTCCAAGACGACCAATGAATGCTTTTTGCCACCTAGTGTCCAGGATCATGATTTAAAAAGTAATTGATATTCTATTAGGTACTTCTATCTTCTTACTATCTTAGTTGACTATTGCACTTCATTTCCAACTATTCCAAGTATGGTTGAGATCTTTAAATGCCCGTCTTTTCTTGCAATCACAATTGATTAATGTATAGGAGGAGCAAAGAGGAGTTGCTATTAGTGGATCTCACTCCTTTCATATTACTTACTTACTTAACTCTTCACTAGCCCAGGCCGGTGAAGTGTAACTATGTAATAAATTCACGTTTAACAGCATGAACTTGTACATTAAAAATAAAACCTATAATAATTGAATACTCACAGCAACAAATGTCTTCCACTGCAACTTATTATAACAGTTATTTGGGTTCCTAAAGAAATCTTGCAAACTCCAAAATCTACAGTACAAGTTATAATCTATGTTTATTTTATTCTTTTCATTATTGTCAACCACCATTTCTTCATCTAAGGAATCCTTCAATGTACTTGAACTGTCTCCACCGAATTCTGTTACGTTCTCCAGATTAAACTCAGAGACTATGTTCAACCCAGATCTTTCGGAAAATGGAAAGAATTTAGCAAGAAACAATAGGATCCGACCACAGAATACTGTGTTCTGGGACCTTGATAGTCTTCTGAGCAGATCATTACACATCCTTAGTAAGTTATTCTTACAAGCTACGAAAAATAATTCTTCTTTCCATATGCTTACTCCGTTTTCAACGTAGGAGAACAGTTTTTCGCATTTATTCAATGTAAGTGCGTCGAAAATGTCTCCAAGGAGTACAACCGGCATAGTAGGAGTTACCATCTGTCTCCTACATGACTCTATGCAGAAAGAAACGAAATTTTCAAGCGTATCTGGCTCCTCAATCAGCAGTTCCAAGAGTTTATCTCTGAACGCGTGATCCATCGCCGCTTTCCTGTCGGTCTCATTTGTATTTTTGGTAAATGAATCCAGTAAATCGATGTTGTTTGTTGTGAAGGCTTTGGACAGCACATCCTGTAATAATTATAATGCTTTTGTTAGCCAATAACAAATACTTCTCGTTAACGTAAGAGGTTATAAGTGTACCTTGTATTTATTTCGTAGTTCGTCAAATCCTAACTTATCACTCATCCTGGCTCGATATTTTTTCTGTTATGTTTAATTACTATAGAATATATAAGTCATTTAGGTGATAAATTCATATATTTTAAAAGTAAATAAATTTTCTCCGTTCGGTAAACCAAGTAAACGATCGCTAGTGATGTACCGCCTTGTACACTGATACAGTCTTGGCTATAACTCTACTACTGGAACAATCTAGTAGTCGATTTTATGGATGAGTTTTTGATTAATTCTAAGTCGTTGAATCTTATTGATATTACTTGATATTTTGAGTTTACAGTTGTGCTTGTGATTGAAAATTACAAAAAATGTGTAGTCTAAGAAAACAACATTTCAATATGTACGATGTATGTATATGTAAAATTATTATGTATGAAGAACGCACAGACGTGTCAATACGTCTTAGGAAGCATACTATTGTTCCTATACCTAACTTCTTTCTTTGTTTTTAAATAAATACATATATTATTTTACTAAATAACGTTTTTAGTATTATTATAACGTCTTATTTCTAAAACTATGCACTAAATAAAAGAAAAGCGTTTCTTTTAATATTAAATAAAAATTTTATTATTGTAAAATAAGAACGTTATTACGTATATACGTATTGTAAAATAAGAACGTTATGTAAAATAAGAACAGAAAGAAAATAATTTCTCTTAAGAATATAATTATGTTTCAAAAAGTATCGGTACATAGAATCGATACGATAGTATGTTACATCTCGTGTCTATATTTTTTTCCCGCCGTATTGGATGTAACGATTATCGACACCGTAGCATTTCCCTCTCATTGGTTAAAATTTGGCGATTTTAACCAATAGCCAATCGCAGATCGAGTTCAATGTACGGAACTGCAGCTGATACCTATTATTTTTGACAGATGTGTGTCGTCGTGTTGTGTGGCGTCCTGTCTATTTATCTTTAGAATTTTATTATTATTTACAGATTTTTTACTCGATCCTTTGTTTAGAAATGTGTTAAAGTGTAAGATTAGATTAGTTTAGTGTACTTAGGAATTATTTTTAGGATAATCTCAAAGGAAAAGGGAGGATTGTTTGGAAACATGGACCGCAATAATATGAGGTAAGAAAGAATTTGCTTTCGCTTGCAATCGTGCTTACTTTCACGTTTAACTAGTGTTTAGAATGGCTTATTGAAATAGTATGATATGTTTTAGACAACGTCATTACGTTGGAGCATATTTTTAGCAATATTTTGCTAAGATTTGAATGTAACCCAAAAGTAATTACTTAGTTTCGCTTTGTTTGTAGAAAGATTATGATAGCGTGCAAAATTGTAGTATTTAGGTGTAATCGTGAGTGTTACTCGTGATAGTAATAAATATATCACATATTGTCGTTAGAAAAAGTGGCATGTTTACATGTTGCGGGCGTGTGGGTGTTATTTATATTATTATCATGCCACGCGCATTCCTTATCGCATCGCTTGTGAACAGTTATGCACGTACGGAATCAGCTACGCATGGAGTGTAAACTGTTATTTTTTCATACTTGATGTTTACTGCGTAAATCGTCAACCTCGATTCTTCCTATATTATTGAAATAATTTGATATTATTAAACATTATTCTAAATTTATAGTTATATCTTAGATGGATAATTTTGTAATCTTTTTAAGTATTCAAATATTGAGCATTGGTTTGGATTTATCAGAATATACAATTAACTATATTGCAAGTCTATGTTTAACTGTGAACTTTTGAACTAAAAATAATGTTTGTAAACAGAGTGTGTGATAACATGTTATTTTTGTAACATAACAATGTTAATGACACTGAACTCCTGCCACAGCATCAATTTTAAATTTCGTCTGATATAAATAAGGTTTTACAAAAACTTTATTTTCTTATGTTTTACTTTAATACAAATCATTAATATTCTAACTAAGTATATTTAGCAGCTATAAATATTTCATACAAGTTTCTTATATCAAAAATATATGCTTAAAATAAATGGAAGAAAACCTGACTGCCCATATTTTTTTATGAATTAATTGTTTTACATTGAAACTGATTGTATTTCACATCACACATACAACTTATTAAATTAAAATATTTGCTGTTAGTATTTATGTCGATATTACTTATAATAATATAGTATTAAGTATTATATAGTTTGTAAGTAAAAGTACTGCATGGATTTTGATGAAATTGCCACAAAGATAAAACATAGTCTGGAATCGGTTACTTTTAATCTAGGTAAAGCAGGCAAATTCACTGGCAGATAAAATAAACCTAACATAATTCATATTCATCTTTATTTCTAAATCTGTGGTAATATTCCACAGCCACATAACAAAGCTTGAGGGTGATAAATGCAAATACCTGTAACCTAAAACATCACAATGTGATTCAACCACAATGAATATCAATTGATATGTGCGGTGGCGATTGATTCAACCACAAGATGTGCGCATATTATATTCTTTAGTTATCATATGATTATAATTTTACACAATGTACTTACTAATAAAATAATACTCTTTTACTATAGTTAGTTGCGGTTTCTGGAACAATAATATTGACATTTAAAAAAGAAAATTTACTTAAATACTGATTTTTTTTCACAATAATAATGTATGTATGATTTGAACAAAATCGATTAAATAAATGAAGCATGTGCAAAACATACAAACTTATTCTAGAATAGTGTCTTTTTATAAATTTTTTTTTCGTTACTATTTCAATGAACCTTGCTTTATTATGACGTGTATGGGTGATGGCAATTACTAGTCAATCTAGTCATATATCGTCATTATTGCTAATAGCTAGCTTTATGCCTCACATCACGTGCAAAATAATATGCGCATCGAGTTCTAACAATAAATTAATTTATTAGCTTTTAGATAAATCAGGCAGTTGATGAACTATTTGACAACACATTTAATTTAATTTTAAAAAGTTGATTCTTAATTCGCCTGATCATATACAAGACTATCAATAGTTCACCAGCTTGTAGAACATTATTTATAGTTTACTAACAAAATTAATTTTAAATTCAACTCTTAAAACCCATCATAGGACTTCTAATTACAGATATGTGAGCAGCGGCACGCGTTCGTTGCCGCATATGGGGGGAAGTAAGCGACACAATGGGAATGGTCATGCAGCAAGACTTAGCCCACCGGCACAGGCGCCGCCTCCACATGTAAACCACCACCATCACCACAACAACAACAACAACAATAACAACAATAATAATAACAACAACAACATAAACAACCAGAACGATGATCTTATCAACTATATCTACGATTCTTGGAATAAGGTTAGTTGACTTTTATTTTTTACTAACTTTTGTCCGCGACTCCGTTCTCGTGCAATAGTGACTTCCTGCAGATTTTTCGTATAAAAACTATCCTATGTCCTTTCTCGAGTTCCGAAATATGTCTGTACCAAATTTTACAGAAATCGGTTCAGTAGTTTAGGCGTAAAGAAAAGACAGATAGACAGAGATACTTTCGCATTTATAACATTGGTTTGGATTTTGCCGTTCTGTGTATAATGGGGATAAGGGCCTCTTAATAGACCAGGTTCGGAATCCCCACTGTGCAACATCTGTTATGGCATGTTCCTAGATGTCTTAATATATCTTTTAGTTGATAGTGTGATATTGGTTTTATCATGCATGGAAAGACTCTCAAATTGAAGTGTAATTATACTATTTCTCACATAGACATTAATTGCAATACCCATTTGTAACCCATAGAGTATAGTTTACTGGTAGCAAAAAAAAAATTGAATCTATGAATTACAAATTTGATCAAAATTAGTTCCAATATGGAGGTTTATATGTAGTTTCAAATTAATTGCATTTCCACTTCTTTAACAATGTTTATATTATTTCAATATCCATTAAACTTTAAGAATTAAATGCCTGCATGTAGAAACTAAAAACATGTATCCAGTCAATAGGTATGATTGACAATGAGATGGTCCAACTTTCAAGTGGATCTGTTCATTGGTTTCTTCTAGTAGGTACTTGGCAGCATTCAATCGAGTGAGACGTCGTCATGGCTAATGATTTCCAATTAAAACTGTTGTGAATCTATCATGCTTGATCTATTAGCAAAAAATATTCCTATGGTCACAGTATTTGATTCTGGATGATGTTACAATCATCGGAGACATGGGCGTTCATGGCGAACTGGATTCCATTTATAGTGAAATATTGAAACGCAAAGTGAAGCTTTAAATTCAATTATATGCTTAAACTCAGTTTTATTCAACTTAATCACGATTACTTTTCTTGGTGAAAAATGTCCTAAGTAGAATTTGTTGCCATTTTGGGAAAATCATCAAATGACTTCTCCCGCCCAAGGTGAGGGCGAGAGGAAGTGATCTCTTACTGACTAACCCCCCCCCCCCCCCCGTTCCTTCTCCTGCTCTAGGCTGAGGCTGCAGTGCCTCATTGCGCTTACACAAAGGGCTAGAGCAGTCATTCCTGATACTCCCTCCCCTCTCCAAGAAAAGCCCATCATGTTTAGGCTAGTAGGCACTAGCCAGCAGTGTAACCACTGCACTCATGTTTCTGGGGTCTTGCAAAATTATTACTCTTCCCACGTTTGTTGAAAGATAGACTAGACTGCACCGCTCTTTGCAAATCGGACCTAATGATCTGAGTAAAGAATATATGAGTGTGTTTTGAGTTTGGAAAAATATCAAATGCTTTTTTGTTTCTCCCGCCTTGGGTGTGGTCCTCTTACTGACTAAAAACCATTCATAACTAATGCATAAAATCGATTGTAAGCCTGCCTACTGCCGCTCTCCGCACTGGCTCCGCCATCCCATTTACATAGTTTCGCGACGTCAATTTACGAGTACGTGACAAAATTGTGAATTATCTAGGTCGTTGCAGTGTAGCCTTCGTTAGTAATTGGCTTATTGATATCTTACGTTAGGTGTACTGAGTACGCTTTATCGAATTATTTTACTTAGGAATTTCCGCTTCACGGTTGTGGTAATCGATTTGTACCTATGTCCCAAGTGATGAGTACTACAGTACTAGCCTGCTGATTAATTTTTATTCGCTTATTTAATCATTTTGTTATTTTTTTCGCCATTCGTTTTTATGTCGAGGGGGTGGGATATAATGTATTATTAAAAAAAAATACTGTGATAATAAGTTTCAGAAATTCAACATGACGGCATAAAACCATTTATGGCGGCAGTGTTTCTCTAATTAATAATGTCGTGAAAAGCATTTTCAAATATGGTGACTGATTACAAAATAACTTGTCTTTAAAGGAGACTCCATTTCAACGCAAATCTATATATGTAGACTTCCCTTGGGTGCACATTTTCTTTCTTTCTAAATGTGGATTTATTATGCAACTCTTTTAATAGGTCGTTCTGCCTATGTTTTGTTCAAAACGAATAATGGATAAAATATATAATCCTGATTCGTTTACATTTCCACGCATTTCCTCATTTATTTATCGAACTCTGAAATGGTTCTTTATTTTCTCTCGATTCTAGCCGTTTGTCTTACATAAAATGGCAATAAGGATTGTATCATGGCTCTAACACTCCCATATAAGCTAGCATCTTGTCATTTCAAACCTAATATGTTATTTATCGCGCTACGTGACTATTACACAGCTAAAATCCGCGACTTTACTTGTAAAATGGTTCTTTTATTAACATTATTTTATATAAAACTTTACATTATGTGCAAAATTATGTAGTGTTTTGTTTTTAATATTGTTCTTTTATATTCTTTGCTGTTTATATGTAACTTTGTACGATAATTTACATGGATGATGCTGTTTTATATTCAACGTATGCAAGATTATTAATCGACAGAACGCTTTAATAATATGTATATTAAATATTTGTTAACTAACTTGATCTTCGTATGTAAGAGAGCAGTGCTTCGAAACGAATGGGCCGGCTCGACCGGAGCGATATCACGGGAACCTACGCATGTGTTAAGCTTTGTCGCATCACAATCCCTATATCTCCCAATTCCTAATTTGGCCGACGACATTGCACTTGCATGTCTTGTCTACACTTTAGAGAGAGCAAATACTTTCACTAGAAACAAACCGACAGACTGACACACAAAGTTGAACTTATTTTTTGACCTTCAAAATTGTCTATAAGTAGAGGTCTATTTAAAATAAATTATTTGACTTCGACTTTAGTGTTGTGCCCATGGTTTGCGCTGATTGATTACATTCGAGTGATGCTACAGCTTGTTTGCCGCCCAATACTAAACTTTTCAAATTTCGAACTATCTGCTGAAATTACTACGGATAAAATTACATAAAAACTTATATGTCTGGAAGCTATCATTGTTTATTTTACTGTCTAGTATGTATTAAAGCAATGTCCTTTTGCCTGATAAGGCATATCTTTTTGTTCCTACAATATGTTACCTACTTTGCATGATTTTGAAGTGATTTATAAAGATAAGATAACCTTAATAGCTACCCTTCATTACATCTATATACCACGTGCCTAATTCTTCATAACTACTCAGTTATAAAAACTACGAAGTATAAAACGAAGTCGCTTTCTCTGTCCGTATAAGTATCGCTATGTATGCTTAAATCTCTAAAACTGCACAACGGGATTTGATACGGTTCTTAAAAGATGGAGTGATGGAAAAGCATGAAAAATTATATGTATCCATCCATTAAATAGTGGATAAATTTAATAGCAGTAATGCCCTTGCAAAGCCGGGGCTGGTCGCTAGTTATAAATATAACCAAAATTATGAAATGCATGATGTTTTATCTTTGGAAGTAATAGTCGATTGTGTAATACTTAATTTAATTGTGAAATAGGTGTGCAATAGTATGTACAGTGATATTTTAAAATTTATAATGTACCCCTAAAAATACCTAATTTGAAGAAGATCAATTTTTGAACGATTTTCAACTTTTGTTCGAAAGCCTATTTGAGAAATGTAACAAATTAGAGTAGGTTGATCTGCAATTTCACTACAGCCAAGAGCCCCATCCATGATCACAATAAACATACTAATGGACTTTTTCCAACTGTTTACAGGTGACACGTGAACTAGAACGCGGCAGTGACGACGCGAAGTATTATCAAGAAGTTTTGGCGCCCCGTCAGCTAGCCAACTTCAGACCGTTTGACCTCGACGAGTGGTGGGCCCGTCGCCTCGTACAGAGCATAAACCGCAACAAACACCGGTCTTAGTTCCCGAAATAATTTCGTCGGTGAACGACTTGACAACTGTGCCCATTGGAAGAAAAGCAATCTTTAATTTTAGCTTGGTATAATCTATACTCCCCTCCGCAGCCCACAAGATGGTGATTTATGGTACATCCAAGCTCCATCGTAACTCAGTCAGACATTTTACAAGACCGGATGGCACTTGCAAAGGTTTCAACACAGAGCATTTAATTTTTGCTTTTAATCATAATCTGTGCAATTGAAAATTAAGTTGTATTTATAAGGTGTGAATTGAATTTAGACAGTAATAATAATAATGTTTTTAAAATTTTAAGGTTTTAATGTATTAATTATATCCATTCTGTCTCAATACAAAATGTAATTCTGCGAAACTTTTCCGTATTAGGTAAACTATTATCGATTGTTTATGGTTGTTATGCATTGTCAATTAAAATGCAATAGTTAAGACAAAAATATACAGTGGGTGTAGTAACGAGTCTTTCATAAACAAAGTCTGTAGTGTCTCATTGTACAGTCTTGAAATACTCGTTCACAGAGTTTACAAGTATTTTACAAACAGTTTTTAATCTAAATACTACCAGTAACCTTAGATTGTATAGACTGGAGACGACATTATCTGTACCTAGATTTTACCTGTCAGATTTCCCGCCAATTTTAATGTCAAAATGACCTGAGGTTATTTCATAACAAACACTACTGGCAGGATTGTTTTGTGACTGGTTAGTAATTGTCTCCAGTGTATTTTCTCGTATTTCACGGTAAATAGATTTTTATCTTCTACTCAGAGTATTAGATGCAGTTGTACTTATAATTAGATTTTAACCTTAATATCTTGTAGACATATGCAATGCAATATTGTTTTTTTACTACTACAATATTTACTACGTTATGTTGGTTATTGTTTTGTAGTTTTAGTAGTTCAGCTTAAATTTTTAATACCTTTGATAGCATTTTTTATAATTTTAAAAATACTTCATCGAGGAGGTATATATCAATGCACAGATAGCGCGTAGAAACGTTGAGTCTATGGTTATTTGTGTATTGTTAGTACTACCTTTTTTAAAGTCTGTAGGTAAGTAATTCGTGCAAAGAATAAAAAAAATTAAATCCTATCTCTTCTTCTAATCTTCCCTCGAATTTTAGATTATCGTAATTACTTATTATCATGGCAATGAGACATTACTGCCCCGAGATTATGTTTAACATTTTTAGTTTCCCTTCGTTGTGTGAACTTTTATTTGAAACCCTTATAGTGTTGTAGAAATAGTAACTTCAAGTAACATAAAAATAGTGATAAGTAACATTGTTATTGACTTTGTTTTAAATAAAATAGTACATGTATAATCACAATGCGACGATACACATAGGTACATAAAATGGAACGTAATAATATTAAATAAAAAAGAAACGAATGAAAAGTAACCTTATCTATAATCATATACAGAATAAAGTACATTGTAAACGCGTTTTATAATAAATTGTGATATAAATTATTTGTATGTTGTCGAAGCAATAATTGAAGTTGACATGAAGGCGGGAAACATTGTTTTTAAAAATGTTTTTCAATGAAGTAGGTGATGTTAGGTATTGTAAATAAGTTAGTATGAATTTCTATTTTTTATTTAATAATTGTAAGTAAATGTGTCATTGCGAATTAGAATTGGCTAGAATATTGTGTTTTAACATAACCTGTTGACATAGGTTTGGATGCACTGGCGTTCGTACAATGTGAGGCATTTAAATTGGTTAGCGATTTGCATTTTTACAACTTTTTTCATAGTCGCCAGTGTATTTGAGCTGTAGCTTTTAAAGATTGAGCTGACGTTAGATCTGCCTCAGACTTAATGGTTGTAAAGAAGGAAGTAGTCTGTAGGCCGTATGATCCGGTAATAATTCATCTACATTCCATTCACGTATGTACTTAGCGTTTCAAACTATTGTAAATACGTTATAAGTGACGCAGTGCTGACAGATTATGGATTTGAATAAATTTTTTAAATAAATATTTTTGTGTTTTCTGTTTTGTCCCCTGATAAAAGTATTTTTTTTCTTGACAGGGAGTTTTTTGAAAAGGTCAAAGAATTGGGAATTTTAGGAGCAAGAAAAGAATATATGGTCCAAAGACTTCAACTATGTCAAGTGTTGTTGCGTTTGAAATTGTCGTTATTTAAGCATTTTTGTAGCAAAATATCCAACGTAAAATGACTAGGTACATTAGTGTAAACTTTCATATTATTGTGATGAGCTTATTTAACTAATAAAAATTTAGTTCTTTAGCTTGGACTGAAATTATTCGAGAATCTCGTCATGTGTCCTACGAAATTTACTAATAACGCGGAAATAAGCTTAAGAATAACTACTGACACTTACAATGAGGGTCTTCGATACTTTTTCTGCCGCCAGGCGGCGCTTCGTATGCGTCAAGTCCCAAACAGCTGGCAGATAGCACAGATTCTTACCGAACGTATTATTATTTTAGTAAAATTTTATGTATTTGGAAGTGTTATTGATTTTATTATGGCTACAAGCCACTGTTTTAATCGGCTTTTATCTTCTGTATGGAACTTTTTTGCACACATAGGCACTGCACAACACTGTGGCATTTTATAAAACGGAATATAAACCAACGATAACGATAACCTACGATACAGCGCTGCCATTTCACGGGAGGAACATTTTAGAAAACTTACTTACTTAAAATTAAAGTAATTTCTACGATAATACGAAACTATGATAATGTTGATGATGAGGGTTTTAATTTACCTACCTATTTGTATAGGTCTCAACATCAGCCTATGAGAGCTCACTGCTTTGCAAAGGCCTCTTCTTACACAGAGAAGGTTTAAGCATTCATCTTGCTCAAGGCTTAAAATTAATTTTATAAACTATCAGTTCAGTTCAAGGATTTCGATACCTGCTATGTTGAACAGTAGCCATTTAGCCTTATTTTACACACAGAACGTAAAGTTTGGAGAAAGGTCGGAGGTTCTACCCATTACGGTAGTTTCCAACTACCTAGTCAAATTCAATACTTTTATCCAAATGTCAAAAACGATATTTTTCTATGATTTTTTTATGAAACGCTGAGTTATGACGTCATAGTATTTTGGCGTCAAATAGCTTACTTATTTCTTAAAAATTAGTTGATAAATATCTAAAATTCATTGTATCGATCGATCGATGAATTAAAGGAATATTATTTTTCAATATTTTATTGTATTGAAACGTCGAATTAATTTATTTTTGACCTAGGAAACTAGGTACCCAATTATTTGGATATAATCAAGCTTAATTTTATGTACGTATAACTATTGCGTTAACGAAGTACCTACATATATACCTAGGTAGAAGGAGCTACAAATAATCATAATGAAACAAAGAGAGATGAAAGCGATTTGTGAAGAAAAAAAGTCTTACTAAATCCTAAATAACCTCATTGACTATTCTATTTACCGCAGGAAAAGTTACGTAGGTACATCTCAGTCACTGTAAGTTAAGTAGATACCTAGCCAAGCTTATCGTTTATATTATTTATCGCGGGAAAGTTGCGTAACTTACATTCTTTTTACTTCTCAAATGCCAGACTAGAGTTTACGAACTATTTAATTTGATTAGGCACTTTGTGTTACAAGTTGAAGAGCCCAGATTGATGTTTTTTTCTTATGTGTTAGCAGGTAGGTACTTACGTCGTAGATTAGAGTAGATAAGTACTTACCTACGGTATTTGAGACGAAAAGTGAAAAAAGGAATAAACTAAAAATTAATTAGGTAGCTATTTGCAACGACCACGACATGACAGCAGACCAAATTTGATTTTATTTTTTAATTTTTGGTAAGTTAATAACTACTAGATAACCTATATTACACCTACAATAAAAATGATAATCTAATAGCCAAAGTAATAGGTACTAACCACCCAGAACTACTATGCGGGTACTAGGTACCCGTATACCTTCATAATATTATATTAAGTATATTGAATTTAGAAACCTAATTAGATTCCTTTCTGGTTGTGGGTCACAAAAATTAAATTAACATTTAGTAGGTAGGTACGTTCAGCGTAGGTACCTAATAAGTCCTTGTAGTAAACGACCTCGCTATAGTAGGTACCTTTATCTCAATAAATATTTATACCTATTATAGGTCTTTTATTTTGTTTAATTAGATATCTAAGTTTCTGTAGAGTAGGCACGAGATCATGTTTAAATTTTTGAGGTTGAATATCTTCATTTTCCTTCTCCTGCTCCGGGTGGGGCGAGGGGGAAAGCCAGGTTCTTGCTGACTAAAACCACCCTGTTCCTTATACGATCTAGCTGCGGTATGTGCAACATTAGGCAAAGACTACAGTTTATAGTACATTAGGTACCTACATCATTGCGCTTACAGCCACTACCCCGGGGGGTAACGAAGCTAGATGATAGGCAGATATCTGCATAACCTGATACTAGCTATCTACTATACATTTAGCATTCTTCAGCACAGAAAATAGGTACTATTGTCCCGACCATTAAAAAAACATTCTCACAAACTGTTCAATCGATCAAATCTCATACAGTAAAATGATCGCCTAAAAAGGTAAAGAAGAAACAGCCCGTAAAACTCTGTACCTATGTAGTACAAGGAAATTAATCTGAAAATTAATTAAGAGAGAAAGAGAAATATGTAAGTAGGTTGTTTAAAAAGAGTCGTAAAGTAAGTAAGTAGGTATTTAACTGCCATAAATAAAACCGCTGCAAGTACTCGTATAAATAGCGGAGTATCACAACTTGATGTGAACCTTATAGGGCTGTCGCGGATTTATGTCTTTTTTAGACAAAGTACGAAGTAGGTTCGTTAAAAAACGCGAGACTGAAGCCTTTAATAGTAGACGCAGTGGCTGTGCAACCAGCTGCATTCCTGCTCGCGGGTTGCAGGGTTAGTGCAATCAGACACCGCGGCCTCGGACTAGAGCAGAAGAAAGAACGAACCCCCGTTCCTTTTAGTCAGTAAGAGTCTGATACTGCCTCTGGCCTCATCCAGGGCGGGAGAAGCTTTGGAAGATTTTCCTATAACAAAAAAAAGCTGCATTCCTGCACGAAACAATTCTTTGTGTGATCCGCAATAGCCGGTAAGAAGTCCGACATAAATGTCTAAACAAAGTGATTCGCTGTGAGGACCACCCGGAAGAAACGGAGAAGCATCATTTGGCAAT